GACGTATTTCACTTAAAGGGGTGATTTGGTAAAAAGTCAGATTCAGACAATTTTTTATCTAACTCAGATGAAGTAAATTGGCCAAATTTTGCTTCTTTAGTTTTAAACTGAAGCTATACGCTAACATTGCTGACAATGTTTTTTTCTTTTGTGATTTAAACTTTTTTTGTTTTCACTGTAATTGGTATGCACAGGATAATATCATATTAATCCGGCACAACAAACAAAACAGCAACATTTTTTAAAGCACATCTAGGAAAATAGGCATGAATTAGTCTCAGAGTTCTTAAAAAGCTATAATAATAATAAATATGCCAATCAACAAAGAAGTATTACAAAGTGTTACAGAGTCTACTACTCTGCAGCCTTCTTCCACATTTCATGGTATGATTTACATTTTGGTTAAAAGAACAGGACGCTCATTCTAGTACAGCCCCCCCCAAATCTTTTTTCTATAAAAACATCCACCAAAACTTCTTTCAACTGGCTTGAAGCGCATCCAGGTCTTCATTATGATTGCACAGACTTGTTGATGTGGTTTAGAGCACAGTATGATTTACTGTAAACTATAAAATAGAACTTCCCCATACAGCTATTTATGGTTGTTTTATATTACACAGTAAGTCATACTGTGTACTAAACCACATCAGCAAGTCTGTACAAACTTAGTAAAGACCTGGTTGTGGTTTCGACAGATTGAGACAAAGTTTTGGAGATGTATTCACAGAAAAGATTTGGGTGACTATTGACTTCTAGTGTTTGTCAGCAGTGTTGGCCTCAAAGCTCCAGCTTTAAACAAAAGAAGCAAACACTAAACTTGGACACCAAACTTGTCTTGCCTGATCAACTACACCAGGGGAAAGTGGGCAGTTCTGTAAATTAGATTTTTCGCCAAACTGTCTCCATAAGATCTAAAGAGTATCTAAAAGCAGGCCATCATGCTCAAACTATTCAAACAGTCTGCTACCCCACAGTAAGAAATACATGAGTAATAACAGCACATCACAGTGTGAGTGAGGGCTGTTTCAAGGTTTACAGGATTGGATCAGATTCATTCTTTTTTGTCATCCAATATCAGACCAGCATTTTCTTCTGATATCAGCCTGATACTGAGACCTGGTATCGGCATCTTTAGTAGTTGATTAGTCAATGGCACATGCAGCAGATAAGGGCACTGTAAGTAATACACACTGTCGTACATGCTTACATGTAATGGATGATAAGCTTCTGTTGAAATCAAATATTTACAGAGCAGCTGTACACTGTAGGTTCTTGATAGTCGGATAAGGAGGGTTTCATTTCATGTTGTAAGCGGCAGAGTTTGACCGCAGTGCATGTTGCTGTTGACCAGAGGCTGTAAATAAACAAATATGTTTACAGCAGATTTCTCTGAATGGAGCAATTATGTGGAGATTCTGTGCTAATCTCTCTCCAATCTATCTCTCTTTCCTTTTCTTAAAGACACATCCCACCAGGGGTGGAGCTACAGCGCCTAAAGTGGTGGGGCCAAAATATTGGTCCTTAAAAAAAAATGCAACTGCGGCTGACTGAGTGAATCACAAACTTTGCTGACTGACAAATGACAACTAGGTCACTTACTGACTAAGGAAAACGACATATGTCATGGCTGTAACACAATCTGTTCCAATAAAGCTATTCATAAATAGTGACAGTGTTTATTTTGATTCTGCGGGTTCACTGGATTCCAAATCCTTACATTATAAAGGAGGAGGAGACAGTTCAGTGATTCAGTAATGAATGGGATACCTTGTAATGTTCAAAATGGCACCTGTCACTATGTGAGAAGTCCTGCCCTTCACTAAAAAAGCCAGTTGGCTTTTTGGGAAAGCCGCAAGGTAAAAACCCTATTGAAACTGACTTTTAATAAATTTCACACAGTGCGGAACATAAACTGTGACCAAGTACATTAGTTTGTGTATCACAGTAAAAAACATTTTACTGGATTTGTGATCGTTGTTCGGGAAATGTCCCAATACACCAGCTGAAATTTGATTGTTCTGCTGCTGAGTTTGTCTGTTTGTGCCTATAAGTCACCAGAGACTTGCAATGTAAGGATCCTGAACTCAGTGAAAAAGTGGTGGGGCGTCACCCCTATACTTTGAAAAGTGGCAGGTCAAATGCCAGCTCGTTCCTGTGGTTTCATCGCCATGTTCTGGTGATGGGTTTGGTCTTGTTTGTGTTTTGTTTGTTTGTGGTGTGCCCACACCTAAGCTTCAGGAATGACTGTGTATGTTTGTGTGAGTGGTGGGTGTGGTGAACATAACCTTTATTAAAGTCTTTATTTGATGCCTAATATAGATACAGATACAATAGGCCACCCATGACTCTCAGTAAGATCCTATTTCTTAACATACCTTACCAGTTAGCTTGTGAGATGCTAGAGGCATGCTAGATGCTAGTGGGTGGAGTAGCTTGTTAGATGCCTTGAGAACATCACCATCTTTGAGACATAGCAATAGTGAGAACTAGCAAATGACAATGTCTGTTTTTCATTCTGTAATTTGTATGGTGGGGGGGACCATTCATTTTCGTTTGCACTGGGTCCCATAGGATCTTCTGGTGTATGCAGTTGTTGGGCCTTATTCTGTCTCCAGAGCTGCTGATTCATTGGGGTTCTGGAAAGTTCACCCTCGTTAGCGCGTTAGCAACCTGCTTCCTCATCACTCAGCGTCACCACATGCTTTAATCACAGCCAGCACTAATGAGACTGGAACCGCGACGCTGGATGATGATGTCAGCACTCCTGGAATCTTTTAGGTCAGGGCCAAATGTGGTCAGCCTCCAGGCTTGAAGAGAGCATCTAGTTCTGAAGCCTAGCGTAATTTAACCCAAAGTTTCGTTATTTATCTTAAAGGAATACTCCAGAATCGCTGTTGGCCACATCTGTAAAGTACAGTCGATTACTGCGGACAATAACTGAGATGCTTTTTCGTAGACAGTGGAAAACCTGTTGACTCATGCTTATAATAGAAGCCAATGAGCAGATGCTGCACATATCTTTTACATTTGTATATGAATATATGTTTTCTGCTTATTTTCCCTGACGCTGAAAAATTAATAACTTGTAGTGGCCATTTTTACTAGAAGTTAAACAAATGGAGGGTGGTCTCTGATTTTGCACAGTACTGTATAATATATAGTGAGTAATTCATAGTTTTGGACATAGTCAGAGACTTACTGCCTTAGTCATATAGAGTCTAATAAAGTTTAATGTGGAGGGAGACAGAGAGAGAGAGAGAGGGAGAGAGAGAGAGAGAGAGAGAGAGATAAACAGAGATAGTGGAAGTTGGAAGGGGAGTTCCATTCCGCCCTATCAGAGGTGTGTGTGTGTGTGTTTGCTCGGTCAGGACAGGGTCACCCAGGCATGAGGGGTGAGCTACACTTCCTCTCCTCCCAGGTCTCCAAGGCAACAGGCCTTGGCACTACAGTAACTGTAAGCGGGCTTGCTGTTAGGGCAGTGTGTGAGCGACTCGACATTTAAACACCACTGAGCTCCTTCACTGGCATACAGGAGGCACCCGAGCCAAAAGGGGCCGGATGGGCAGCGGGGGAGAGTCTGAATGTGTATGGACTGCAATGAAGCTCTCAGACGGTAGCCACAGGGCTGAATCATTTTCTTTGTTGAAATCCAATCAAATCCCACCTATATTAGCTTGTTGGATATCCCATTGAAAAAGCATGGGCATTAGTGTGGAGTTGATAAAATGTCTTTGTATGCAGTAGCATTAATATTATCCCTCACTGGAACTAAAAAGCCGAGCCCAAACCCTCAAAAACAGCCCCAGACAATTATCCCTCCTCCACCAAACATCTTGGCACTATGCAGTCTGGTAGGTAGTGTTCTCCTGGCATCTACCAAAGCCAGATTCATCCATCAGACTGCCAGATAGTGAAGCGTGATTCATCACTCAAGAGAACACATTTCTGCAATGCAACACATAGTGATCTTAGGCTTGTGTGCAGCTGCCTGGCCATTGAAAGTCCTTGAGCTGATGTTGCTTCCAGAGGTATACTGGAACTCTGTATGAAGTAATGAAACAGAGAGGATGGGCGATTTTTACACACTACATGCTTTATGACCCCACTATGTGGGTTTGAGGGGTCTACTGCTTAGCGGCGGAGCTGTTGTGGCTCCTAGATGCTTCTGTTTCACAACAGTAGCACTTATAGTTGACCAGGGCTGATCTAGCAAGGCAGCAACATTCACAAACTGACTTGTGGGTAAGGTGGCATCCTATGACTGTGCCACGTTTAAGGTCATTGAGTTCTTTAGTACAATCCATTCTACCACCAGTGTTTGTCTATGGAGATTTTGTGGCTGTTTTATACACCTGTTAGCAATGACTGTGGCTGAAACACCTGAACTCTGTTTAGGAAGGGTGTCCATGTACCTTTGGCCATGTAGTGTATTTTCTGCAAAGTGTTTTGTAAAATCATCAGTGTTTTAAGTGAAATGGAGTCGATTTATGTCCACTTGGATAAAAACGAACACTATAAGAGCGAGTTTGACGCTGGTGATTCTACAGTGAACCGCACACTAACACAACGCTGCGAGTATAAAGACCTGTTAATGTTCGTGTTCACGCTGGGAGAATGGTGGAGCTGTGTGTGTGTGTGTGTGTGTGTGTGTGTGTGTGTGTGTGTGTGTGTGAGACAGTGAGAGAGAGAGTGAGAGAGAGCGAGAGAGTAAGAAAGTGCCAAGGAGGGTGAGAGGGTGGAGTCGGAGTAATTCTCTCTCTCTCGCTCTCTCCCTTTCTCAGTGTCTCTTGCTCTCTCCTCAACGGTGCCATATTTCTCTAATTCTCTTTCATGGGTGTGTGCTTCCTTTTCTCTTTTTTTATGACTGCATGTGTTTGAATGTGAACCTTCAGGAGGGCTTAGATGGACACACCCAGTTTTAGAAAGAGATCCTCAAGTGCACTCACTCACACTCCCTCTCTCACTCACACTCCCTCTCTCACTCTCTCTCTCTCTCTCAGCAGAGCGTAATTGGCGCTCCAGATGCAGGTGCTTTGCAGGGGCCGATGGTAAACGAGTGACCGACCGAGCCACGCAGGAGCGTACGGAGAGGTCTCAGCAGGATCCGCATTCGGACGCATAGAGGTGAACGGATCACCGAAGTCGAACCAAAGGCAGTCGGTATGAGATCAGGTCCCATTTGAGGTATGTGCGCATAGTGCTGGGGGCTTTATGGTTTATGAGTACGTGTTATTATTCTGTGATTTTGAGTCCAGATTGAGAGCCTGTGTGCGTACGTACTTACATCTGTGTGAAACTGAGAGCTGAAAGTACGTCAAACGGAAGGTAACCGAATCTGGCCAGCTCAGGCTAACACCACACTGCTGCTTTACAGTTTCAGTACTTTGTGCTGCGCAGTTTACCTGCTCAGGCTGCGAGTATATGTGTGCAGGCTTGTTAGTGTGTGATGTATGAGAGAGAGAGATAGAGGGAGCGATAAAAATAGGAATAGTCATGAAAGAGGAGAAGAGGAAAACAGTGAGCGAGGGAATTGAGGGCCAGCAGGAGAGAGAGAAACACAGAGACAGGATAAAATGAGGGCACTCTCTCTGACGTAAAATTTTGTGTGTGAACCACACCTCCCTTTCGCCAGTGTGCTTGTGGGTGTGTGTTTGTGTGTGTGTGTGTGTTTTAGGTATGCGTGCTCTCTTGTTGTGCAGACAAATGGAGCCCCTGGGAAGACTAGGGAAAAACATGTTTTGTGGAGGGCGGCGAGCTATTGAGTAACACTGGACGGATTTAATGGAGTGTTCTCACACCAGCCGGCAGGACGTGACAAGCCATGACGACATCACTACGCACAGGAATAGTCAATGGACTGGAACTCAGCTTCACATGGCCTTGTGTATGTGTGTTTGTAGTGTTGATGTCAGACACCGTAGAGCTGCGGTGGGAGGCAACTGGGTGAGTTGATGGTTACTTAGCTTGAGTACAATTAGAACATTGTAGTTGCTTGTAGACCTAGTTGTTAAGGAGGAATTCCATCAATTTTTATGAAAAAACTCTGTAATTTAGTCGTTGAGATGTAAACAGAATCATTCAGAGTGGTTTGATGTGAAATGGTTCATTGTAGAGAAGCGTACTGACTCAAACGTCTTTATAGTGGTGGTGATAGGAACCAGGAGTCGTGATGTCTACAACACAAGCATAGCCATTTTATTTGCTATCCAAAGCAACTAGTGAACCTACTCATGCCTTTTGAGTTTTTATATCCAGTGTTGGTTCGGGTAAATCTGACAAAAATATATATTTGCCTTTCAATGCCCTACATGTACCACTTCACCATGAATGGGTTTAAAAAATATATTGTGAAACTACCATAAAACAATGTCTCAGATATCAGGTTGCACACAATTTCCTTTACTGTGGATCAGTGAGTAGATAGAAGCAAGATTAGTGTCTTACTTTCTTTTTGTACAGTATTAGAATGAATAAAAGAAAGGAGCACCATGCAAAAAGTTGGGCAAACCAAGAGATTGAGGCTCTCAGGTAACTTTTGCCAAGGTGACAGACCATAATTAGCTTGTAAGGGCTATGGCTTGTTCACCGTCATTGCTAGGAAAGACCAGGTGATGGTCAAATTTCAAAGCTTTATAAAGACTCCTCAAACCTTGTCCCAACAATCAGCAGCCATGGAATCCTCTAAGCACTCTAAAAGTTAAAATAATTGATGCCCACAAAGCAAGAGAAGGCTAAGAGAAGATAGATAAGCGTTTTCAGATAGCCATTTCCTCAGTCCGTAATGTAATTGAGAAATGGCAGTTAACAGGAAGAGTTATGAGGTCAAGTTGAGGTCTGGAAGACCAAGAAAACTTTCAGAGAGAACTGCTCATAGGACTGCCAGAAAGGCAAAGCAAAACCGCTGTTTCACTGCAAAAGACCTTCAGGAATATTTAGCAGACTCTGGAGTGGTGGTGCACTGCTCTGCTGTGCAGCGACACCTGCACAAATATGACCTTCATGGAAGAGTCATCAGAAGAAAACCTTTCCTGCATCCTCACCACAACATTTAGCATCAGAGGTTTGCAAAGGAACATCGAAACAAGCCTGGCGCATTTTGGAAACAAGTCGTGTGGACTGACTTAAGTTAAAATAGGAGTTTTTTGCTGTAATGAGCAAAAGTATGTTCGGAGAAAAGGGGTGCAGAATTTCATGAAAAAAACACCTCTCCCACTGTTAAGCACAGGGGGTGGGTCGATCATGCTTTGGGCTGGTGTTGCAGCCAGTGGCAAGGGGTACATTTCACTGGTAGAGGAAGAATGGATTCAATTAAATACCAGCATATTTTGAAAGCAAACATGACATCGTCTATAAAAAAGCTGAAGATGAAAAGAGAATAGCTTCTACAACAGGATAATGATCCTAAACACACCTCAAAATCCACACTGGACTACCTCAAGAGGCTCGAGTTGAAGGTTTTGCCATGGCCCTTGCAGTCCTCCAACCTAAACATCACCTAAAATCTGTTGATAGACCTTAAAATATCAGGACATGCAAGACAGCCCAAGAATCTCACAGAACTAGAAGACTTTGCAAGGAAGATTGGGTGAAATTCCACACATAAGAACACAAAAAAGTGTTTACAAGCTGTGATACTTGCCAAAGGGGTGTTACTAAGCACTGACTACGCACACTGTCCAAACTGTTGCTACAGGCTCTTCCTTTTTTGTTATTTTGAAACTGTAAAAGATGGAAATAAAAAAGTGTTGAAAATATTGAAGCATGTGTCATCTTTGTGTCTTTTTGAAGTCAGGTCATCTTTTATTCGCTTAGCTATTCACAGTAACAGAAATTTTGACCAGGGGTGCCCAAACTTTTGGATGCCACTGTGTAACCATTTCATGTTATAACTGTCTATGGTGTAGTTTTTAGAGACATTCAACTCTTCTGACTATTTTTTGGAATGATGTATTTCATATCAAACCACTTTTGAACCCAGTTTCCCCAAAGCATCTTAGTGTTAAGATTATCTTAACTGGTAGAGAGAGTGTTCAGTGTGATGCTCGCTCTACCATTTAAAAAATTGTCTTTGTGCTGAGATGCTTTCAGGAAACCCAGCCCTAAATGTTTACATCTTAGTGCTTTAATTACATAGAAATTTAACACAATCAATACAATTCTCTTTCACCTCTTTGATGTCTAGATGTATTGTTGTTGTTTTGCTGTGCTGTTTAAAGAGGCTGTCTTTTTGTTTGTGTTTATGTATTCTTTATTCCTGAGAATTAAATTGGCTGTTTTTTTAACCGTGCCTTTCAAACTGCTACATGTAAAATATCTCTGTTCTGATTGGCTGCCCTATATTATGCCACATTCAAAAAGTTCTGCAGGCTAAAACACTCTTTATAGCTTCAATGAGAGTGGGCGGAGCTAAAACTACTTTAAGCTGAATTAAGAACTTAGCATCTGCACTTTTGACAGAATTTCTCTGCTCTGCTTTCTCTGGTTCTTTGAACGATGTGCGATTGTGAACGCTATATTTGCTTGACTGGTTCAGTGTGTGTCTGAAGGCACGTAGACTGATGTGTGTTTGTATGAGAATGAGATTTGGCTCACCCTTTAGTGTTTGCAGTAGTTAGGTCAGGAACGGGTTTGGTTTGTTTCGAGTTTCCCTGAGGACCAGCACAGCAGCACCAAACCATGACATCATTGTTTTCAGAATTAGACTGATCAGGCCTGGCTGCACGGCGCTGTGTTCTGATTGTGTTCTGTAGTTCAGCTGTAAATATGCCTGAATTACCAAATGTTGTTCTCATTTGAGGATTTCCTAAGTTCCTCTGTCTGAAGGCGAGTGTGACCAGACCTCAGTGTTAGACACTCCACAGTCAGAGCTGATGAGACTGTGCTGTGAAAAAGTAATATTTAAAAATATAAAAGAGACATTTAGATAACGTTCATTTAACATTCATATGGCATCTAAAATTCATATAGCATTCATATAACATTCATATAGCTTTCATATAACATTCATGTAATATTCATAATTACATTTCACTGGACAATGAAGTGAGCGTGACTGTCTCGTTCTATTTCTGTCTCTTTTTTTCTCTCTTCCTCTTTCCCTGTCTCCCTCTCCCCCCTGATCTATCTATCTATCTATCTATCTATCTATCTATCTATGTATCTATCTATCTGTCTATTTGTCTAGCTCTTTCTTTCTCTACTTCTGTATCTCTCTTCCTTTTCTGTCTCTATCTGCCTCTCTCTCCCTACCTCTCCTTCTCCCCCTCTCCTTCTTCTTCTCTCTTTCTCTCCCTCACCTTGTCCATCTTTCTCTCCCTCTCTTTCTCTCTCTGTCTCTCTCTCTCTCTCTCTCTCCCCCCCCCTCGCTCTGTCTCTCTCTCTCTCTCTCGAGATAGTGCAGGTGGTTCAGTGTCACAGCGCTAAGTTAGCTGTAAACGTGGTCTGTGAGATGTAAATTGCAGTAGTCCAGGCCGCGTTCAGCGTGTTGTAGAGTGTCCGGTTACTAAATGAGCTCACGCATTGATTTATTGGCAGAGGGAGACGTACAGGATCCGTTTGGTACAGATATTGATTTTAAAGGCGGCGTACGCTCCTGTGGTAATGCAGGAGGACTGTAAAGTTACTGAAGTAAGACGTCAGAGAGATGGGAGTTGGCGTGGTGCCACAGAGTGTTTAGGAGGAGCTAATCACGGTGGGGAGGGGCAGAGAGGTGGGAAGACAATTAGACATCGCAGGGGACTCATCGCTCTAATGCACGGAAGACGCAGCGCATTGATTCACAGTGGAATGTAACCGCGCGATGCAGAGCTGGAGAGCGTATTTGGAAAGTTGCGGTTTCAGTCCTTTGGCCTTCTATTCAGGTGTGTGGAGCTGTTTTAAGTGCACATTACATAATCATCTTGTTCTGCAGCATCATGGCTGTTCAATGCACACCTCTCACATTCTGCTTCCATGAGCTTTTGGCCAGAGCATGTAGCTCATCAGGTTCTCACAGTGTGAAGATTTTGGGCAGAGTGGAGCTCTATTAGGTCATTAATACTCAACTGCACATGCATGATTCATGGTCAGATAGTAGGCTTTTCCTTTTCGGGTTTCTGTTTCTATCCAAGGGTGCTTGCACTCCTACCTCATTAGGCACGGACCAGTCTTTTTATTTAGTTTGGTTCGTTTAGACAGGTGTGAACACACCACTTGTACTCTAAACAAATGAACCGTGGTTTAATTTGCCTCTGGTGGGAACACGTTTTTATGATGGTATGAGGGAATTTAAAGCTTTTCTGTTCTTATAGCAGCATAACAGCGCTGTAGCTGATATTGAAAGACAAGCCATAAAATAATTTATCAAAGTAGGACGTTTGATTTTGGCACATGGACCACAGAACATTGCTGGTGTTGGAGCAAAACCTCGTATCTCCAAAATGGTAACTTTACAGGAGAAGGAAAAAACATACTTTACTTTGAATGTAATTTAATGTACTTTGTAATTGCTTTAAACATAAAGCAATAAGCATTTGGGTTATTGTTTTTGTTTTGACTGTGACACATGTAGACGTTAAGCATCTCTGTTTTAATGATTATGATGCATGTAGACGTATTTAAAGTACACATGCAAATTTTGGGCGCCCCCAAAATGTAGGTGTATGTATAGTGTACAACATAATGGGTAGGATTTTACACTTCATCAAAAAATATATCTGAGATATAGATCTGTATTGTCTGTGTTATGGAAGTTCAAATATAGGCTAAATTTTACGTTACAGAGCTAAATTTTTGGTTTGGCTGAATGTGAGGTTAACACCTTACGTTGCCAGGGTTTTAACTCAACCAGTTTGCATTGAAGTCCCTGTAGTTACTGAATAATAAGCCTTAGTATGTAGTAAGACTGGGATTTTAAGGAGTTAAAGGGGGATTTTGAGTAAATTTGCCTGGCTCTAAATTTCATG